TGACTCGGGGCCTCTCGGGGAGCCCCAACGAAGCCCTTGGGAAGCTCAAGCGAAGGCCCACAAACCCTTACAGTCGGGCTCACTGATGGCACCCGGCGGGGCCCAAGAATCACCATGCACCGTGCACCTTGACTCGGGGGCCCTTGGGGAGCCCCCCACCGGGGCCTGGAGAAGGCCCCGGGTGAGGCCCCAAAGGCCCCGAAGCGGGTTCCACGAGGGCCCCCACAAGGCCCAAAGCCAATGTGCACTGTGCACCTGGACTGGGGGGAGCCTCGGAAAGCGCCAGTGGGCCCAGAGCAAGAGTCAAAGAGAACCGCAAGAAGCCCTCGGGAAGACTCCAAGATCGCCCCCCGAAGGACCCAATATCGACATACACCGTGCACATGGGCTCGCGGGCACTCGGAAAGCCCCACATGGACCCCGAGGATGCCCACAGAGGGTCCCACTAGGATCTCGCGGGGCTCAAACCAACAAGGGGGAGGCGGAGTAGAAGCAAGACACCATGACGAAGAAGGAACTGAAGAGCACGAGGGCGGCGGAATGGAGACGACGAGGAAGACGCAGGGTGGGAGGACTGAAGAGGATGGAAATGAAGGTCTAGGCCAAAATGCGGTGTGCAAAGTATGGGAAACATCATGCCAAGCAAGAGGAACGTAACTGGAACAAGGCGGGCGCCCCCGAGGGCGGCGACTGGCGCCGAAATCTCCGCGAACAAGACAAGAGACGGCGGCGCTTTCGCAAATGGTCGCGCAAACCGTGTAAAATGACACGGCGCCAGCGATACCAATTTGAAAAAAACAAGGCGACCAGCAATTGCATCGGCGCGAAAACGCTCGTCGACTCGTCAGCCCCGAGTTCCGGATGTATGCTCTCTACGTTTGCATCAAGTGACAAGAGGAGTTGGTCCAAATTTGCCAGGACAATGACAGTGCAGGCGCCGTTATATGTTGTACAAGCTACATGGGATGCCCTCACGTGGCACGGTTCGCAAAACAACAACAAAAGGACGAGGAACGAGGGCCCAGGCTTGAGGAGGACATGGGGGTGGGAACGAAAGGCAGGACAAGGACGCGTGGGGGGCCGAACCGCCAGACGGGAGGAGCCCGAAGAGTGTTGTTTGTGTCGGTAGTACGCTGCAACGCTGCCTGCGCCATGTCGCCGCGGCGCTCGAAAACATGATTAACCCTGCTTATACTTCGTGCAAGAAGCGAGCGAGGCCTAGCTCGGTTCCTTCCTGACGACACCATAACTCGAAACAACCCCCAGGTAGCAAAAAAAGGCGTCACTCCGCTGGACCCCAAGGATGCCCGAGGTCTGCTGGTGGTCCGCGTAAGACGTCACTCCGCTGCACCCCCCAGCAGCCCTCGAAAGTGGCGACGGTTTCGCAACTCTCAGCCCCCCAGGGATGGCGAGGTCTCCTGGCGGTCCGCGTAAGACGTCACTCCGCTGCACCCCCTAGCAACCCTCGAACGCGGCGTCAATTTCGCAGACCGCAGCCCCCAGTGATGCTGAGGTCACCAGGTGGTCCGAGTAGGACGTCGTTCCGCTGCACCCCCCAGCAGCCCTCGAACGTAGCGACGGCTTCACAGATCGCAGGTCCCCAAGGATGCCGAGGTCTGCTGGTGGTCCGCGTAAGACGTCACTCCGCTGCACCCCCGAAAATGGCGACAGTTTCGCAAATCGCAGCCCCCCATGGATAGCGAGGTCTCCTGGTGGTCCGCATAAGACGTCACTCCGCTGGACCCCCCGGCAACCCTCGAACGTGGCGACGGCTTCACAGATCGCAGCCCCCCAAAAATGGCGATGTATCCTGGTGGTCCGCGTAAGACGTCACTCCGCTGCCCCCCCAGCAGCCCTCGAAAGCGGCGACAAATTCGCACATCGCAACCCCTCAGGGGTGGCGAGGTCTCCTGGTGGTCCGCATACACTCCGCTGCACCCCAGCAGCCCTCGAAAATGGCGACGGTTTCGCAGATCGCAGCCCCCAAGGATGGCGAAGTCTCCTGGTGATCCGCGTACGACGTCACTCTGCTGCACACCCCAGCAGCCCTCGAACGGGGCGACGGTTTCGCACATCGCACCCCCAGGGATGCCGAGGTCACCAGGTGGTCCGAGTAGGACGCCATTCCGCTGCACCCCCAGCAGCCGTCGAACGTGGCGACGGTTTCGCAGGTCGCTGCCCCCTCAAGGATGGCGAGGTCTCCTGGTGGTCCGCATAAGACGTCACTCCGCTGGACCCCCAAGCAACCCTCGAACGTGGCGACGGTTTCGCAGATCTCAGCCCCACATGGATGGCGAGGTCTCCTGGTGATCTGCGTAAGACGTCGTTCCGCTGCACCCCCCAGCAGCCCTCGAACGCGGCGACGATTTCGCACATCGCAACCCACCAAAGATGGCGAGGTATCCTATTGATCCGCGTAGGACGTCACTCCGCTGGACCCCCCAGCAGCCCTCGAACGTGGCGACAATTTCGCACATCGCAGCCCCCCAAGGATGGCGAGGTCCCCTGGTGGTCCGCACAAGACGTCACTCCGCCGGACCCCCATCAACCCTCGAAATTGGCGACAATTTCGCACACCGCAGGCCCCCCATGGATGGCGAGGTCTCCTGGTGATCCGCGTAGGACGTCACTCCGCTGGACCCCCCAGCAGCCCTCGAAAGTGGCGACAGCTTCGCACATCGCAGCCCCCCAAGGATGACGAGGTCTCCTGGTGGTCCGCGTCAGACGTCACTCCGCTGCACCCCCCAGCAGCCCTCGAAAGTGGCGACGATTTCGCACATCGCAGCCCCCCGAGGATGGCGAGGTCTCCTGGTGATCCGCGTAGGACGTCACTCCGCTGGACCCCCCAGCAACCCTCGAAAGTGGCAACAGTTTCGCAAATCGCAGCCCCACAGAGATGACAAGGTAGGAGGCGAGCTGGCACGCAGGAAGGAGCGAGGTAAGAGGCAGGCAGGAAAGATGAGAGGAGGAGGGAGGCGGGAAGGAGGGGAAGGAGACGCGCGAGCAGTGCTCTATTCAAAACGAGTACCCAACGGAGGAGGGTTGGGGAAAACAGACTGGAAATACAGAAAAATATGGCAACAATACTGTAGGAGCTCCCATGGGCATGGGAGGTGACCTTCAGGCCCACATTCACGAGCAAGGAGGATCAGGGCTGGGGGACAGGGAATGGGGCGATCTTCTTTGTCAGAGACTTTAACAAATTCGCCACAGACACACACACACACACACACACACGGACCCTCGAACACACGCACACACACACAAAAAAAAAAACATTTGCCGCCAACGCGTAGCTGAGTCCAAATTGCGGAGCGACGCAACGGACTTTGTTTGCACCGAAATGGCCAACAGACACACACACACACACATACACACACAAAATAAACAAACACAACAACGAAAACAAAGTGGGGGACCCTTGCCTGGAAGCATCTCAGGCGGCTCAGATCTGGGCGTAGCCAAAAACATCGCGACGACCAGCTTGCCTACGTCTTCGGCCTCCGCATGTCGTCCAATACCCACTCTGGACGAGAAAGCTGTCCCCAAGAAAAGAGATCGAGATCGCCAGAGACCAGTTCGCAGAGAAAGGCGCCGCCGGAGAGGCGGGTCCACGAGGGCGCCTGGTGAGAACGCACAGCGCGGGGGCAATCGCACGCGACCGGCCGACCGACAGTCCGACCAGGGCACAGACGGTGCCTCTCTGTGGCCCGTCCTTCGTCGCCAGACCAATGCATGGCCGCCCCCCGTGACGGAGGAGCAGCACAAGCAGAGCCTCCTCTCCGCCACCCCCCACCATGGTCCCCGTGTGGGCCCTGGCCCGACCCCCCCCCGGGCTCATCACGACTCGGCCCTCCAAAAAGCCCCTCCCCCAGAACTCCACGAAATCGGCCGAGGCCACCTCCCAGACGCCCCATCCCGCTGCCAGATCTCTCAAGAACCTTCCCAGGGGTGGGAAGCTGCCGGGGGTCTGCGCTGGATGGGACCCGAGAAAATCCACGAAGAGGGGGGCCAGGGCAAATCCGCTCAAAGTCGGCCCCTGACCCCTCCTGTGACGAAGCTGACCAGTCTTTCGAGCCGCGTCCAGCCGTGGCGACGAGCGTGTCCCTTTTTCCCCCCCTTCCTGCTGGCCGGAACCAGTGCTGGGCCACCACAGCCTCCCAGCTGGCTCCAATCCGAGGGTCGCCATCGCTCGGACGTCCATTCCCTGTGCATTTGTCGGCTTCAGAACGCTCCTCGATGGTCCTCGCCGACAAAAAAATACACATCCAAGCGATGCAAAGGAGGTTCCAAAATCTGATGCGCCTCCAACATCCAAGCGCCCCCCCCCAATCAAGCAGAGGAGGCACGAGAGCCAGCCCGGCCACGAGGATCGTGCACATGCACAGACTGTGGCCAGGCCCATCCAAGGCCCAAGTACTGGTGTCTGCCTCCGTGGCGGAGGGCAAACGCACCGATCCGGGGCTCAGGATGGGCCTGGCCAGAATCGGTGCCTGTGCACAGCGCCCCGTGCTCCGACCAGGGCCAGCAAGGGGACCCGGGCCAGCGAGAGGACCAGGGCAGGTGAGGACCAGGAGCAGGGATCAGGGCCAGAGGCGAGCCCGTCTCCCCCATCGCTCCCACAGGCCGCAGGGATCCCGACACGGGGCCCCTGGAGAGCTCCCCCAAGCTTCGCCGCATGCCCAGAAGATGTGTCCAGGTGGGGGCGCACAGAAGCCACCTGAGGCCCACCCCGGGCTTTGGACCTGGAGCTTCCGCCCTCTTGCACCCCCCCCCCCTCCTGTGACGTCAGAAGGACGGGTTCGCGAACCAGCTCACGCAGCTCAGCGTCCCTGCGCCAGCGGATATGTACCAAGGAAGGCGCCCCAGCGGCCGGGCCCGGCCCAGCTGCACACGGCAGCCCTCCGGGACTTCGGGGTAACCATGGGCGAGGGGCTGCTGCCGAAGGCTGCCAGAGCAGGCGGAGAGAGACGGGGGGGGGCGCAGCAGCGGCGCGGGTCCTGCTGGCAGCGCCTCCTTCGTGACGAACGCCCAGGACCCGAACTTGTTGCCTGGCCGGTCCCCCTGGCCGAGCCCTTCGCACGGCCCCCTGGACTGGTCGACTGGAGGTCTCCTAGGAGGGGCCTGGAAGAGTCGGAGGACCGCCATCGGCGATGCGTCAGCGCCGGCGGCGTGGAGAAGGTCGGGCTCCACATCGAGCCGAATCGCCGACGCATCGGCGATGCGCTGCGATTTTCAGATCCACGCACGTAGGCGGCCTGGATGGACTCGTCGATGCTTGGGTGGTGACACCCGAACCCTGCCCCCGCCAACTATCGATTGATGGGTGGAGGGGGTAGGGCTCGGACTTGCCGCGTGTTCGGCGAACTCCAACTGCTACCCCCGCCGCCCATCTGGTTGCCTGAATCGTTGATCGGCGAGGGCAGGGTTCGCATTTCGCCGCCCATCGCTTGAACAACGAAGTCCCGAGCGTTCCCTCGCCAACGCAGGCCAGGGCTGCCGCCGACGCCCTGGCCGAACTGGCAGCGACGCGGGGCCGTCCGGCCCAAGGTGGGGGGGGCAAGCACGGCCTCCACGGATCCCCGAAGTCGTGTCGTCACGACTTGCGGGTCGGCTTCAGAACCCGCGCGGGTCGATCAACCCTGAACGATCGAGGACCTCCGATGGCGCAGACCTCGGGGAACAATTACTCGACGCGGAGATCTCCAGATCCCCAATCCCCAGATGTGCATCTCCTCATACTCCTGTCACGTTTCGCTGAGGAACTCTGTCTGCAAGCATCTGTGTGAGAGCGACTCAGCGTGGACGGGGGGCGCGACAACGACGACGGCGACAGCGACGACTTCAGTGACGTCCTCCTCCTCCTCCTCCTCCTCCTCCTCCTCCTCCTCCTCCTCCTCTGGGCATCTTTCAGGAGAGATTAGGGAAGCGCAAGTGGAAGAGCGAGGGATCTTGGACCATCAGCAGAGAAACAACTGCGTGAATCTGAGAGTGGGTGATCTGAGTGTGAATGCGTCTGAATGTGTATAAATCTGGGTGTGGTTGAATGCGAGTGTGAGTGAGTCTAGGTATCATAGAGTCTGAGTAAGAGGGGGTCTGAGTATGCGTAAGTCTGAGTGTGCGTGAGTCAGAATGAGAGTGAGCCTGAGTGCAGGTAAGCCTGAGTGTGAGTGGGTCTCAGATGAGTTGATGAGTAAGAGTAGGGGTCTTAGTGGGTCGGAGTACGAGTGAGGTGACAACAAGTGAATATGAGGGTGGGTGGATCTGAGTGTGAGTGCGTCTGAGTGTGAGTAAGTCTTAGTGTGAGTGGGTATGCGTACGAGTAAGGTGAGTACGAGTCTGAGTATGAGGGAGTCTGCATACGAGTGAGTTTGAGCAAACGCGAGTCTGAGCTTGGGCGAATCAGAGTGTGAGCAAGTCCGAGTGTGGGTGAGTCTGAGTGTGAGTGGGCCTTTTGTGAGCGCGTCTGAGTGTGAGTGAGTCTAGATCTGAGAGGGTCTGGGTATGAGTGAGTCTGAGTCTGGTTACGTCTGAGTGTGATGAATGAGTCTGAATGAGGAAACGTCGGAGTGTGAATGCGTCTGGCTGAGGTGAGTGAGCGAGTGAGGTCAGGAGGCGTCTTGGTAACACAAGTCCAAATACAAGCATGGGGGCCGAAACAGGCACACCGCCTGAGACGTCCCCACAATCTGGGCGCGAACGGGCCCGTGCAATACCCACTGGCGGCTCCCCACTGGGTTGCTGAAGCCAGCGCCTCGCCTAAGACATCCTCACGATCTGCTCTGAAAGCAGTGAATGCTGAACACCCGAAAAAAGCACACCGCCCGAGACATCCCCGCAATCTGGGCGCGAGCGGGCCCGTGCAGTACCTCCCGCCGGCTCCCCGTTGGACTGCTGAAACAAGCGCCTGGCCTGAGGCAGCCTCACAATCTGCCTTGGAAGCAAGGGATGTTGAGCACCCAAACGCACGCAAACCGCCCGAGACACCCCCACAATCTGGGCGCGAACGGGCCCGTGCGATACCCACTGGCGGCTGCCCTTTGGGTTGCTGAAGCCAGCGCTGAGACATCCTCACGATCTGCTCTGAAACCAAAGGATGGTGCGCACGCAAAGAAGCAAACCGCCCGAGACGTCCCCACATTCTGGACCCGAACGGGCCCGTGCGATACCCCCTGGCGGCTCCCGTTTGGACTGCTGAAGGCAGTACCTCGCCTGAGACAGCCTCACAATCTGCTCTGAAAGTAAGGGATGTTGCGCACCCGACTGGCAAACCGCCTGAGACGTCCCCACAATCATGGCGCGAGCTGGCCCGTGCGATACCCCCTGGCGGCTCCCCCTTGGATTGCTGAAACTAGGGCCTTGCCAGCGACATCTTCACTATCTGCCCTGGAAGCAAAGGATGTTGAGCACCCGAACACAAGCAAACCGCCCGAGACATCCCCGCAATCTGGGCGCGAACGGGCCCGTGCAATACTTCACTGCGGCTGCTTCTTGGAGTGCTGAAGCCAGCGCCTCGCCTGAGACATCCTCTCAATCTGCTCTGAAAGCAAAAGCATGCTGAGCGCCCAAACAAGCAAACCGCCTGAGACATTCCCAGAATATGGGCGCGAAACTGGCCCTTGCAAGATCCCCATGCGGCTAACCCTCGAAGAGCATCTGTGTGCGTGAATGCTTCTGAATAAGAATGAATACGATTGAGGAAGTGATGCGATTGACTATGAGTGGTGAAGAGCGAATTCTGCATATGAGTCTGAACTGATTTAGTCTGAGTGCGCGTGAATCTGAGTACGATGGAGTCTGGGAATGAGCGAGTCCGAGTGCGAGTGAGTCTGAGTATGTGCGACTCCTTAAGCGCGAGCGAGTCTGAATGTGTGTGCTTGAAAGTAAGTGTGAGGAAGAGGCAGAGGCAGGTTGGGGAGAAGAGAGGATGAGCCGACGCCGTCTGAGTCATTACTCGACGCGGGGATCCCCATGTGAATACCGTACCCCTGTCACATCTCACTGAAGATATCTGTCTGTGAGGAGATGGGCGTGGGAGCGGGTGAGCGTGGACGACGGGAACAACAACGACGACGGCGACAGCGACGATTTCAGTGACGTCCTCCTCCTCCTCCTCCTCCTCCTCCTCCTCCTCCTCCTCCTCCTCCTCCGGGCATGTTTCAAAAGAGAGGAGGGACGCAAAAGTGGAAGAGCGAGGGAGCATTGGACCACAAAAATGGAGAACGAGTGAATCCTCGCGTGAATGATCTGAGTGTGAGTAAGTCTGAACGTGAATGATACCTGGTGCGGTTGAGTCTAGTCTGATTGTGGATGGGTCTAAGTATGAGAGGGTCAGAATGCGAGTGGGTCTGCGTATGCATGAAGGGACTAAAAAACGAGAAACGAGAACCGTGACCGAACTGGACCGAACTAACCAAAACACTGCCAAAACACACCGAACCGGACCGAACCAAATCCGCACACAACCGAACCGTATGTAACTGAACTGGACCGAAGCCGGAGCCGAAGCAAAACTGGACCGAAACCGAACTGGCAGACTAAAACTGGAACCGAAACGGTTGGAACCGAAAGGAGCCGGACACCCCCCAAGTTCGGACTCCCAAGGAGGAAGAGCCCGAGGGGACTATGGGGGCCTCTGGGAGCCTAAGGGGGCCTAAGGGGCCGTCTTGGGGCCGAAGATGGCCTAAGGGTGCCTATGTGGGCCCATGGGAATCTTAATGGGCCTACGGGGGCCTAACGGGGCCTATGGGGGCCCACGGGGACCCACGCGGTCCTATGAGGGCCCATGGAGGCCCATGGAGGCCCGTGGGGGACCCAAAGAAGCCTCTGGGGGCCTGAGGGGGCCCAAGGAGGCCTACCGGGGCCTATGGTGGCCTACGGGGGCCTATAGGGGCCCTGAGAGGCCTGTGGCGGCTCTGCGGATCGCGTGTCGCCGCCGCCGTCACCGCCGTCACCGCCGCCGCGGTTGTCGGCGTCGTCGTCGTCGGCGTCGTCGTCGGCGCCGCCGTCGCGGGCCATTGCCGTCGCCCCCCCTAAGCCCCCCAAGAGCCTCCTCAGGCCCGCTTATACCCACTCAGGCCCCCATAGGCCCCAACCCCCATATGGCCTCCATAAGCCCCCGCACCACGTCCCCGAACCCCCCACCAAACCGGAACCGACTCGAACCGAAACCGACTCGAACCAGAACCGATCGTACCGTTCGGAAATGCAGAACCGATTCGAACCGGCACCAGACCCAAGCCGAACCGACCGAAACCGAACCGGCGTCAAACCGAACTGGCCAAGTGACACCAAACTGGAACCGAAACCGGACCGAACCAGACCGAACCGCTCCCTCCTTGATTACGCGTGAGTCTGAGTATGAGTGAGTCTGACTGAGAGTGTCATTGTGCGGGTAAGTTTGAGTGCGAATGGGTCTGAGGATGACTTGATGAATATGAACCTGAGTCTTGGGTATGAGCATGACTGGGTCTGCGTACGGGTGAAATCTGAAATCGGTGAGTCTGAGTGTAAGTGCACGTGAGTGTGAGTAAGTCCGCGTGTGGGTCAATCTGCATGAGTATGAGAGTACCAGCGTGGACGACAGGCGCGGCAATGACGACGGCGACAGCGACGGCTCCAGTGACGTTCTCTTCTTGCTCCTCCTCCTCCTCCTCCTCCTCCTCCTCCTCCTCCTCCTCTCGACATCTTTCAAGAGAGCCGAGGCAAACACCAGTGGAAGAGCGACAACAAGTTCCTCTTGCCGTTCTCCCCGCGCAACTCAGGCAAACGCGCTGGGCATTCCTACGCCCACTCTCTGGCGTGCTATTCGCGGCGCATGCTGGCATTTGGGGCGCCCAACTGCCACGCCGGTTATATCGCGGTAACCATTTGTATGCGAGCCATAGTGCGACTGAATCTGAGCGTGGGTGACTTGAGTGTGAGCGAGTCGGAGTTTGAGAGGATTTGGGTACGATCGAGCCTGAGTGTGAGTGAGCCTGGGTATAGTAAATGTGAATACGGGTGAGTCTGAACATGGGTGAATGTGAGTGCGAGCGAGTCTAAAGTGCGA